TGGGCAGAGCGTTCGCTTGCTAAAAGTAAATAAAGTACAGCCACTTTCTTTATTTCATCTGCCAATAAACAGAGAGCGGCAGAGGAAAACAATAGAGGAGCTTCCCGACAGTCCGAACACGTCTGACCTAAAGAGCACAAGCAGCCAGCTAAAGTGTTGGACGTGTTTTGGATGCTCAAAACGTTGCTTGAATACCTTTTATTTATTTTAACTCCATCCTATTTTGCTTATTTGATTTAAACTTATTTGCCTTCCATTGACCTCCATCACACAATTTTTCTAGTGGGGAAATGACATCAATAGAAABAYGTGGAGCTGGATTTTAATTTGTGTAATAAGACAAAACAGTCTTGTTGTTTTCAAGAGTTTTCACTTTAAAGAAATAAGTTAAACAACTGATGTTACAATACAAAGAGATGGATGTTGTCTTGATATTTGTTAATTTTATGTATTGAGAAATATTTTTAAAAAAGTTTATTATAAAAAAAAAACCAACACGTACAAAGTACCGAAAATTGGTACCGTTAAGTACCGGTACCGATTCCCAGGTACCGGATATTGGTACCGAATCAATTCAAATGTCAAAAGGTACCCATCCCTACTACCAACACAATTTAAAATTTGATGTACAGCCTGAATGAAGTCTGTAATTTTGACACAATTTGGAACAGATTTTTACAAAGAGCAAATCTTTCCCACTAAATTGGTCATGTGACCAGGACATAAGGGGGTCCAGGGAGTCCAGTGGATTAATCGTCAAATTAATCATTATCGGCTAAATACCACAATTAATAGTGATTTCTTTTTGCCAATATTTCCCAACCCTAGTAACAAGTAAACTTTATTCAGAATTATTTTGTACACAAAACCACACTTCAGAATGGTTGAACTATTCTTATAATTACCAGTGATTCAAAAAACAAATAATACATTAAACAATTAGATTTAAGAAATATATTTTGAGATTTTTAATTTTCATTTTATGAGAAGAATTGGCATGCAAATGAAAATAAAAAACACTATAGTGGCTATTGGGGAGCATGCTACATAACTAAACACGTCATAATTTTTCCATCTAGAACAGGGGTGTCCAAACATTTTGAAACATGGGCCAAAGTCAGAAGGACTTGAGGGCCAAAAATATTTTTCCTTTACCTGCTCAACAATAAACTAAGCATTGAATACTTCAATYAAACAAATAAAGTAGTCAGATTTATTGCTGGAAATGGATGTGTAAATTAATCTAGATCCAGAACTTTAGAAGTGTTTTGCAGCTTTCCCTTATTAAAAGAAATTTAGCAATTTTCTAGGTTTTAAATGGGGAATAAAGAACCTAATTTAGTCAATTCTGATCAATAAAATCAGGATTTAGGCTGCTCTTTCGTTGAAAATGCTTGTTGTATTTAGACAAATTTAATAAATTAATTAAAAGCAGATTAGAGTGCAGCAAAATCAGCTTTTGAGTAGAAGTCACTAGATAGATGTGGAAAAAGCTACGAGCCTGGTTATTTAAAGACAAATAATTGGTGTTGTTGCCAATACTTTTTATTGGAAGAAGATTTTACTTTGTGATAATTTTGCCCTAATTAAACATAGAAAGTCTCCATCTACATCTGTGCTGGGGGGACAAATTTGTATAATTCTTCAGAGGCCACACAAAATCAGTTCAAGGGCCACAAATGGCCCCCGGGCCACACTTTGGACACTCCTGATCTAGAAAATAAAAAAGTGATCTTGTTTGTCTTTTGCTTTAATGACCAAAAAATCTGATTAATAAAGCCAACTGCAACACAGCCTATACTGCCACCTGCTGATGACACAGTTCAGACTGGTTTTCAACACCAGGAGACAGAAACAAGTGTGGTGCCCAGTTTATGTGTGAAAGGTCATTCCTGAAGATGCAGAGCAGAGAGATGCAGATATGTTCACCAACAAAATTCAGATCGTTTCTATTAAACCATAACTGAATGAYGTGGAGTCTAAAAATGTTAATGAAATCTTGTAGTTAATAACAATAGAACATGTGTGTCCTGAACACAAAACAATAGTCAGACTTAGGGCTGTGTATTGGCAAGAATTTGGCGATACGATACATATCATGAAAGAGGGGTCACGATACGATATATCCCGATATATTGCGATACTGTAAGCAAGACGATATATTGCGATTTCTTTTGTCCAAAAATTCTATTAAATAAAAACCTCTTACAGGGGGAAAAACCAAAATTC